CACTTAATATTAACTACTCGTTTGAAGTCTTGTTTAAAATCAATGTCGAATTTACAATCATACCGATTTTCGAGGAAAACTGCACTCTTTTAGTCGTGTCATGTTAATTAATTAGGCTAGGTTTTATGTAATAAATATTTTAAAAAACTAAAAATTATTCTCTCGCGCACCCCTGCTGGTTGGTCTGTGCACCCCTAGGGGTGCGCGCACCCCAGTTTGGGAACCGCTGGTCTAGACCATCTGTATAACGCAGCGGCAAGCGCATACAATAATGAATCTGAAACACGAATGCATTCCACTCCGTACCCCTGAATCTGCTGCCAGTGACCAGTTTGTGCCGGATTTCTGCATCTCTTCCAGCGTCCAGGGTCTTTCCCACACTTGCTCAGTCTCCCCATTATGATTACTGGGGACATTCTCCATAAAATTAGACATGCTGGTTTACTCTGTTGAAGATCACAAGTTTTATCTGAGTTTATTACTGATAGAAAGACATTATAACTCAAGATTACATAGATAAGATTATATCTCAGTAAAATTTATATAGGAATCATGACTGCCTCTTGTGAAAAAGAAATGTGCTTAATTGCATTGATTGTGCAGTGTACCTCAATTCTTAAAAGTATATTTTTAAAAACTGTACTTGCACATAATTTAATTGTAATAAAGTAAAGTCCACTTAATTGTACTTAAAGAGAATATACTTTCTGTATAAGACTGTTTAAGTACTTAACACACTTCGGTACAATTTTAAAAAGTACACTTTGTAATAATATCAAATTAAACGTTGCACTTTTCAATGACTAATCATCTTTTTTTATCATGCTTTAAAGAAGTACACTTATTTTAATGTTGACTAACATACTAAAGCACATGTAAAGTACTTGACTGTAATTGTACTCCAAACTGTAGTGTGTTATTTGATTATGCATTTTAAGTTAATATATATAAAAGTTAACTTCATCATTACAAATGTGTAATTGCCTATATTTACATCCATGACATAAAAGTTTAAAATAGAAATGACATTAATGTTTATTAAAGTTTACCATAAATGCCTGTCAGTACATTCACTAGTTTAACCATATTTCAAAGACAATAGAAATAATTGTGAAATTACATATAAAAACGCAATTAAGCCATACTTAAGTGATTCAAAAAGCACTCTAATCAATTGAATTTTAGTATAAATTAAAAATGTAAGACATTTTAATTTAGTTGTAAATAACATGCAGTTAAATATCTGAAAACATTACAATTATATTCTTCTAAAGTATATTAATTCTATAATAAGTACTCTTCTTAAAAGTAAGCTAATGTGTACCTCTTTTTCACAAGGCTGATCAAAAATGAATGCTAATTTATTTAAAGCCAGACATTTATATATTTTTATCTGACAGCTGCTAATGCTATACATAATATAAAGTGTAAACAAAACCACGTAACGTTATTATCATTTGCTGAGGAAACTTTTCAAAGTTAAAACGTTAGAACTACGTGCCAATGAAACATCAGCATATGCAGAGGCGATAACCTCGTCCATCCTCAAATCCTGAACGATTAAAAATATAAGTACATACACCTGAATGCACGTTTGATCCGTTATTATCCGATATTTTACTGTTTTTTGCATTTGTATGTGATTGCTCAACCTGCTGTCATGCAAGGCTAGCTGCTGTGCTAGCAATTTACAGTCTGAATCTCTGATAATGTCATTTGGAGTATTGATTTACCTTATATATGTACTGTGATAAAATAGCCTCTGTAGTGTTTCCCTTCACCTCAAAATCTCACGATTCCAGCAGTGAGAGAAGTCAAGAGCAGCTTATCGCTGTCACTCGTCCCATCATCGGTTCAGTATTTAGAGAGGTCGGTCGGCCATGTTCCGTCTGCAGAGAATCAGCTGATTCTAGTCACCTGACTGCGGAGTCCCTCTGATCTGAGAACAGCTTCTCATGCGAGTCAGTGACGCTGCTCATAAACGGAGAGCATTTAAACTGATCTCAAAGCAGCACTTCCTGACAGCAACTACTAATGTTTATTATGAGGAAAAACATGCATTTTTTGACGGATTATCATGAATGAACATCATGAACACTTGACAATAATTGTGGAACACACAACACTATTTATACACTTATTTATCTAACTCACATACTTAGTTTACATTTCGAACTTGCACATAATATACCTGTACATACAAAACTGTCTATTGTAATATACCTGTACATACAATTGTCAATTTGTATATTGTTATTCCCTATTTACTTGTTCTACGTTTTTTATTTTTTTAATATTATTCTTTTATTATCTGTGTTTTTGTCCTGTCACTGTCATTCTGTTACACTGTGGAAGCTTCTGTCACGAAAACAAATTCCTCGTATGTGTAAACATACCTGGTAATAAAGCTCATTCTGATTCTGATTCTGATTCTGAATGAATGAAGGTAAACTCTTGAAAAAAGGAATAATAAAAGATGCAGTGTGGAAGTGTTTTGTAAATCAACAAAGGCCCACATTTTTCTTGAGAAAGGCTAAATTTGAATTCATCAAATTTTATTTTCCACGGAAACCCTGCTGGAAATTGCTGTAGATGATTGTTAGTTGGTTGACTAGTTATGTTATGAACTTTCTAGTAGTGAAGGTCCATCCAATATCTCATTTTTGCACGAATGAGCATCTGGTTGTAAACTACTTGTTCCCATCAGAGCTCATTGAACTTCCTCTCTTTGGTATTAACCACTTTCAGGGTCTTGTAGGTGCTGAACCTCAAGAGATCTCCTCATTGGAGATCTGATGCTATTGGACACGATAGGCCAATTTATGTAGGCTATTTATTTAGGCCTACCTTAAGGTGCTGTCTTTTAATATGTAAAATACAGATCATTTCTGCAACAGCCTCCTGTTTATAATAAATGCTAAAACTGTGTAGATTGCTCTGGAGGTAAAAGCTCAAATTTGGAGAAACCAAACTGAAATAAATCTTTTTTTTTTTTATAAAAAAAACCACCATGAATCCTAATGACATGATATCGTCTCTAATGCATAACCAGTGGCAACGTGAGACGACTGTGTTGTAAACAGCTGCCCATTTATTCACAAAGACAGTTTTTCCAGTCACTGCAAAGCTTATGTGTTTCTCAATTTACTGCTCATGATTTATACAACATTAATTAGTATTAATCAGTAGACATTCATGACTTTAAAAGTAAATAACCAATCTAAAAAAAAATGTAAATTGTATCAATTAATCTGTTTTAATCTGTTAATCTGCCATTTTCAAAACAAGCAAGGAAGATTCCCTTGTGATCAAGAATGAAGATAATGTTGCTGAAAAAATGAAAAAATAAAATAAATATAAAAATAACATTTGTTTGACATGTGGGTAAAGTAAAATGTAAAAAAAACAAAAAAAAAACAAGCAAAATGTTGACATTATAGGATAATAAAAAGGCACGAAATAATTTCTGGCTACAACTTTGTTATTGCATATTGTATTCTTATTATTATTATTACTACTACTACTCAAAAAATTTAAATTATACAGAATTATGAAACTTCTCTACATTAGACATGCACTTTTAAAAATAACAATTCCACAGGGGTGGTTTCACAGTGAAGAACCATTTTGGGTTCCCTAACAAACGTTTCAGTGATCAGTTATTAAAAAGCTTAAAAACTTAGTTTTTCTTACATTTTAATAATCTAAAAAAACTTTATCCACTATGAAGATCTTTTGTGCAATGGAATTGTGTAGATGTTAAAGGTTCTTCATGGAACCACAGATGCCAATAAAGAACCTTTATTTTTAAGAGTGCTGCAAACTTTGTATATATCAAATAGTTTCTTTTTCCAATTTTTAACAATAAAACACTCTGATAAAACACTTCCTACTACTAGCATAGCACTTCTAGTCCCGTGCGACTGGTGAATCAGACAGCCACACTGTTCGGGATTCTGTCTGGAGAAAAATAGTAGTAAGGCAGCTTTTTTCCCTCATTTCGGCACTTGATGACTTTAGCCACTTCTGCAAGATTCTTGCGGAACTTCACCATGGCCTCCTTCACAGGTTTCTCAATGAAGTGTTCATCTGGATACATACCTAGGAACAACTGCAAAAATCATACTTTTCAGTATCTGTCATTGCTCACACAGCACACCTGAGGTTTTATGTATTCATATAGATATGCACTTATTTCAGACCTCATTTTCTTGAAACTGACTGAGGGCCCACACGGCTCCCAGATGCCAGCAGGAGCGTCCTCGATCAGGCAGACTCTCCACTATGTACTTCAAATCCACCTCACCCTTCTTCGTAGGAGGAGGCTTCCGCATGGTTGGGGGGGAATTTGGGATCCATGAACACCAGTCATACTGGAGTAAAGTGTCAGAACACTGATATTAGCCTAGGACTTTTGCTGCTCCTTTTACTTTACAACAAAATATTCCAGAAATATTATAGTGTGTTACCTGTCCAAAGTTTACTGCAGCATGCTGTGCAGAAGCAGTGAAGATGACGATAGTTAGATACTCCACCAGCTGCTCCTTGGTTTGTAAACTCTTGGGAAACTCTGCAGACAATGATAATGTGTCATCACTATGGGGTTCATTCAGAGGTCAGACACATTTACATTCATGAGAATGCACTTAGGCCTGAAATTAAAGGCTAGTAGCCCTAAAATGAATCAGTGGTTGAGGATTTTCTAACTAAGATTTGAGGTTCAGCCCGCCTGCTGAAAAGTAATGGAAATGTATTGTCATAAATATATTCTGTCACCTTGTGCAAATGGTTTAATCCCAAACTTCTTATTATTATTATATATAAAAACAACCATACCCTTGTCAAAATGCAAACTTAATTGTATCAAATGTACAATTTTAATGTACTTCAAATCTTAAAATTATATTTTTAGAATATGTTACTTGCAGAAAACACATTATTGAAATAAAAGGTTAAGTATGCTTATAGTAATGACTATGTTTCTTGACACACTTAATATACTTTGTGATAATGTCAAATTAAAAGTTTAAAGTAGGCTACATTTTAAATTGTAGCCTACTTGATTATATTTTTTTACTGTAGTGTTATTCAATATTACAATCAAAGTTAACATATTTTAAATGTACTACATGTCCATTATGCAACTCCATCATTACAAAATACAAATGTGTAATTACAAATATATTTAAATACATGACATACAAGTTTCAATAGAAATTACATTCAACTATATTTTAGTTTACCATAAATGCTTGTCTGTACATTTGACAGTACACTTTAACCATATTTCAAAAACAACAGAAGTAATTCTGAAATTTATGTTAATAGTAATCCTGAAAAGTCTTACTTAAGTGGGTCAAAAAACTCTCTAAAGATCAGCTAATTGCATTTAATATAAATTGAAACTGCAATACATTTTCATTTAATTGAAATTGACATGCAATTAAATGTCTGCACACATTACATTCAGTTCATATTTAAGTATATTCTTCCCATAATAATAAGTAGGAGGTATGCTAAAGTATTCTCCTTTGTGTTATGCAAGTTTGGGATTTGTTTTAGGCGTATATTTACCACACATGTCAAAATCCTGCATTCCAAAGCTGCAAACATCTTTCACAAAAGCCTGGATCTCTTCGTCTTCCTGGACTGTCTCATCTTTGTCATAGTAGATGTCCACTACATCTGTCACAAAACTAGGAAGAGATCAAATTAATATCAAATAAAATAGTTAAAATGGCCATTTTTGACTTTTTAACTCCTGTACAAATGAAATGTCCATGCTTTATTTTGTTACATACCTTGTCACTGCCTCCCAGACGCTGCAGCCATCATCTCTGTAGAAGTAGTAGGGCAGTTCCTCCCGGCTTTCCATGCCTCGTGCTTTTATGGCCTCTGGGAAACACAAGGACCTGTATGTGAAGGTCTTCATGGACTTCTGGACCAGTTCTACGTGGCCACCTCCACCTGTCCCATTAGCCTGTGAGACAAACACAGAGATACAAACACCCCACAATAAAAATTAAACACTGCTGTATACTTGTAAGACTTTAGTAAAATGTTACAGTAACTGAACAGTCAGTTCCAATTTAAGTTTGTATCACTATGTGTTTGCGCACATCCGGACTGTCAGTCTGTGAATTAGTGGTGGGGATTTTTCAGTGACCTTTTTTTGCATATTAAATCAGTACACCAGTACGTGCATATAAGTTATGAGTGAATCATTCAGGAACAAAACAAGTGACCGTTTTTATAAGTGAGTCATTTTGTTAATTCAATTGATTTGTTCAAAAACTGGCTGCAATTGCTTACTCTTTGTTAATTTTTTCTTGCTATATTATAATGTATACATGCAATAAAAGGCCGAGTACCAAAACAAACTTGTAGCCAATCAGCAGTAAGGGGCGTGTCTACTCATGATGTGGACGAGAGAGCGCTCAGTGCACAGGACGGACATTAGCCGAGCCGAGCGACAGAAAGATAGAAATTGGGGATAAAAAAACAAAAGAGGAAAACGTCTGCGGAACAAAAGAAGGCTTACGATAAGGCAAGACGTAGGACCCGTGTAAATATCGGATCAGCTTTCCAGTGCTGGAGAGAACTCAAGGAGCGG